AAGACAACCCTGGCTTTTTAATGATGATACTAACGTATAATAATACTAGAGACTGCAAGTTCGAAAACATGTTGTGAGCTTAAGTGAGGCACACCATGCAGACAGGAAGAGGGAATAAGAGAAGAACAATATAGACTCTAATCTGGAGCTCAATGGTTTTAGTGAACTGAGCTCTCTCTCTCTCTCTCTCTCTCTCTCTCTCTCTTTCTCTCTCTCTCTCACTGTATCTCAGCAGCAGGGAGTCTTCCACTTCGAGAGGGCCCCAGCTCAGTGCAGCGGCTGCGTGCCAGGATATGGTGCAGGGCTGGCTGGAGGTTGGGGCCTCGGTGCTAGGTGACGGCTTAGAGAAAATCCCTCTCATGAATAGACGGCCTGGATTATACACAGGGCAGGTCACCACCAAAGACAGATGGGGAGAGGCTGAAGAGTTCATCAGCGTTGCTCTTCACGGGGAAATATGACATTTGAAACACAATGCAGCCTTCAGCTTTGGAATCACAGTATACCTCATCCTGTAATTAGTCAGTTCTTTATTACCACAACCCCCGAATTCAACTTTCAAAAGAGATGCTCAACTCTGCCTTTCACCTCTTTTAAGTACAGGCAGAAAAGATCAAAGCCTCGGAAAGTGTCTTCAGTGAATTCTCATTGCATTGATCCATGCACAGCTAAATTCAGCTGTAAGTAAATTATTCATGCAGGAAGAACATGCCCAGGAGGCCCTGAGACTGTTCTGGTTCACTATACGTCCTGTATCACCCACACTGAGATCCAGCAGGACAGTTGTTTGGCCTCTGTTCACTGATGGGATAAACAACCAATTAGGAGAGGCCACAGCACTGACCGGGGTTCTGGTTCAAGTCCTAGCCGGGACAGAGCTCATAGCTGATGTGTGTACTATCAGTGTCTAAAATACTGCAGTATGGAATAATACAAAAATACATTATCTGGGTCTCTCCATCTCTTTCTTTCTGTCTCTACAGCACCTCTGTTCCACAGAAATTCGTGTAAACTACAGTAATATGAATCGCACACTGTGCTCCCATTTTCCGAATAAGCAAATAACTAACCTTATCTTTATTCATGCAGCACTTGTATTAGCATATTAGCACAAGTATAACTACTGTCTTTTATTCCCTATCTTTCTGTCCGTGCAGTAATCTGCATAATGGATAAAGCAGACTGCTATAGCTGTGCACCAACATGTAAAGTCTAAACAAATGTGCACTTTGCCTTTTCGGTCACATACGGTAAAGGTAGCTGTTACAGACAGCTAGACACAGTATCTATTCTTAGTTAACATATCGTGTGCTGTGGACTGTCAAATACGTTCGTCAATGTCAGCCACTGTTGTGGCTTTTTAAGCACTATTGCATGCTGGTGGCAATTACTGGTAGAGACTCACTGACAGGCAAGTGATACATTTCGCATTGATGCATGACAGTGGGGTAAAAACAGCGCGGACGAGGGCGCTGACATTGACCTTACCCATCCTTCTTTGCACGGCCGCTTTTCTGTGTGAGAGGTAATCCCACAGTCCAGACGCTGTGGCACTAAAGTGGACGGTCATACAAGCTGGCTGATTTATGAAGCCTATGCCTGGACAACTATATGTGTATTTGCAGCTGAGACTGTGTGACAGCGAGTGAGCACAACAATGTTCTGAAAGCAAAACAATCTGATAAATTAGTTAAGAATGTGGACTAAATCGATTAAAGAGCTTTTCCAGATCCAGAAGTACATCCAGCAACACAGTGAAATAACAAGTCTGTTTTCTATCAAAAGGATAATGGAGAGTAGCTGATTTGGAAACATAATTTAGGTCAATTAAGGTTTATCAGAGCAAAACTTTTCTGCTCAGAAAAACAGCTTAAAACTGTAGATGGTTGGGGAAATATCAGCACACTGGAACCCTATTTCTGCTATTTTGTAACAGTAAAATTCAATCTGCGTCTTTGTCAAATTGCACTTTTTCAACTTTTAATACAAATCAAGAGGTTACAAAAAGACTTTTGTCTGAAGAGAGAAGTTATGAAAAGTTAGAACACAGGATAGTTTTCAGGAAGTATTCTCTAAAATGACACACACGTTGCTAACAGGGACATTTACAAATGAACTGAAAGCAAATGTGTGAAATTCAAGATCAACTTCATCATTCCTTAACGATCAATTCCCACTTCAGATTTTTGAATTCTATAGTACCAGTCATTTTATATTAATTCCTACAAAAAGGATTTTTCTGGCTGTTGGACTGCAAAGTTTATTAAAAGTTCCCATGAGCACTGTTCACTGTTGTTTTGTTGACATATTATTATAATTATGCAAGCAGATTTCCACTGCACAACAGTGGATAGCTGTTTTAAGGGAAATTTAAGGGCAAAACCATGGTTCAAGAGGTTAAAAAAGTCTCCAAATGTAATACATAATGTCACAAGTTTCATCTTAGAGGCACTTGTGCAATTCTGGCCCACATGTCTATGCCCACATTGTACAGCTTCATTGTCATGGCAATTTTTTTTCTATTATATTTGAGTCTTTTCATGTACCCAAGCAGCCTTTGAACTGACTTCACAATACAAAGTGACTGCGTTACAAACAACAACGTAGGACAAATAAAGCACAACATTTCGCTGCAGGCTCAGAAAATAGTCTCCTGATCAGAAAGAGACGTTCTGTAAAATGAAAGAAAGTAAAAAAACAAGTACTTTATGGAATGAGAGCAAGTGGCCAAGTCAGAAATGGATCAGCTGGCCATCCATCTCCTTGTGAATGTCCACACTCGTAAGGTTTTAATAAATCACCGGGGCAGTGTGGGAGCATGGGGCGGGGGGCCCCGTTGGAGTTAAGGATGCCTTACAAAGCAGTCTGCTTGACACAGAGAGGAGCGGAGGGGTGGAGGGGCTGTATGAGGGGTGGAGTGAAGGGCGAAGGAATGGCTGAACATGAAAAAAAAGCACATAAGGGAAAACTCATGGCGGGATGGGGCGCGGGGATTGAATGCTAAAACGTGACTGTAGTAAAGAGGATTTAGACTGGGAGACAGAGAGAAAACAACTGGCCAGTGAACTCAGCAGTGATGCAATTACTGAGCTCAGAGCCGAGAAGGAATGTGAGAGGCAGGGGAAGAGATTGATTACCATGATTATTGGCCAATAAAAAGAGGCTAAATGTGTCTTGTTCCTCACTTCTCTGAATGTAGACAGAATATAAAGAACATGTTTGACACTTTGGTACTTGTGAGTGTCATTAAAGAAAAATGTAAACACACATAAACACCTGCAATTCCTTTACCTATGTAGAAACAATGAGTAACACATAGAAAACCCACAACTGCCAGCATTTGGGGTAATTTCATGATCGTGTAGTGCATTAGTGTTTTATAGATTTTGCTAACTAAAGCCCTACTTAAAAAGCAACTAAGATGGCTCTTTCAATTACTTTTCAATAGCTCGCATTTTTTGCCAAAGGAGATCCAAGATTTTTGGGGCTTCAGCTGCAGCAGTTTTCAATTTGGCTGTTGTCCCAGTCACTGCCGTTCATCTTCTCAAGCAGAAATGCACAAAAAAGGATATGCTGGTGTTACGGAGAATGACTGGACAGGATATAGTTTCCCTGCGGAGTGGGAGAGCACACGCATTCTGTGTCACTGAGTCAGTGCGCTCACAAGGGAAGTCAGCGTTCGTCATAGCCGACCTCACCGAGCAGACAGAGGCCTGTTAAAATGCCTCTCTGCTTGAATCATGGCAGCAGACAGAAGCAGGCGGCTCCTTGGCCTGTTTCCCCCCGCCTCTACAGAAGCCAACCGAGCCGGCCAGAAGTGACGTGGGTCAGCCAGGGGGACGCTGCAGTGAGTCCTCAAAGGAAACACAACTAATGTGACTAAAGAAGAAGGACAATTGGTGGAGACTGAGCCATGCAAAGGAATTTCCTCTGAAGTGTGTGAGAAACAGGATCGGTTCAATTCACGATAAACGTCTTTGTGTAGCTAAAATGCTGAGCACCCAATGAGCTCTGACATCCTGCATGTGAAATACTACCTCAACTGTAACTCAATCACTGTGAAATCTTTCCACTGGACTGTCAGATGAGTGTGACATTTTGCAAACCACGCCCACATGGCACTAAAAAAGTCACAATGATAAGTTCGAAGTCACAAAGTGAAGGGTAGAAAAACAGCTCAGATCTCTCCCCCAACTCAGAGATCATTTCCTTCTTGATTAATATGCTGATCATTTTCTTGAATAATTGATTAATCATTTGCTCTATAATATGCCAAATACTGTGAAAAATGCCCATCAGTTTCCCTGAGTCCAAGGTGATGTCTTCAAATGTCTTGTTACGTCCAACCAATCATCCAAAACCTAAAAATATACAACTTACAATGATATCAAACAGTGACAAGCAGTGAACCATTCCATTGGAGAACCCATTATAAAATGCCAATCAATTATAAAAATAGTTAAGATTAATTTTCTGTCTATTGCCTAGTCTTTTCAACTTGAATGTGAACAATACATGAGCCCATCTCGAAGAGCAATATTGATTATGTGTCTGTGTTTTAATGTAGCACTACTAGAGCATCTCAGCTTATAAACTGCAACGTCTACATTGAATGAGTCAACCCTTGAACTTGTGACTGCAGTATGGATTATGATGTCGAGAAATAAGCCTGTAAGTGCCCCAGTGATAGTCTGGTATGTGGTAACATTTTGTTTTTATTTTCATGTTTCTGTCTTATTTATGTTCAACTACAGTGATGACAGGGGCCCAGAAGAGAAAAAAGGGGAGCCCACAGCTACATTCTTCCAGGGCCTTTCCTTGCAACTCACCTGCAAATCATTAACATCTGGTCAAATGTTTTAGGAAGTATCCAGGCCGACATAACATAACTGTGCTACTATATTAGTTATGGAAACATGCTCCACATTGCCTGAGACCTGTCAACAGCACATACATCAACAGATAGTTCCACATCAAAATGCTGGCCAGCCTGTACTCACTTTCTCCTGTACTCGTCCCTCTCCCGCTTGACTTTGGCCAGCACGTTATACAGAGCCCTCAGTTCTGGGGTAATGGTGTCTATTTGGACCCCGACTCCGTCCGGGTGCGTCCACGTCACCCCGGGCCCGTGCAGGGTCTCAAAGCGCTCCCCTTGCCTCCGGACGTGGGTGAAACTCCAGATGGTCCCCGGCAGTCGCGACTCGGGACCGTCCGTCTGCACGGCAACTTCACGGGTGTAAAGGTGGCGGTATTGCGGTCTCTGCAGAGCTTGCTGCAGCTGGCTCTCCAGCAGCTTGTTCCTCCTCTCCAGTTCGTGGACTTTGGCAAGGAAGCAGCGGAAGCGCAGGTTGAGGGTTTTCAGCACATGGATGTTGGAGCCCAGGTCATTTCGCAGGGCGCTGGTCACCGCGCCCGACCCGGTGGGTACGTTGCAGACCGGACCGGGCGGCGTATCGGAGAAAAACAGCGAGTTCATGTTGGTAAACAACCGAACACCTTGTAATCCAAACTATGGCTCTGATCTGGTTTTGTATGCAACAACAACAACAAAAAAAAAACTGTCCTTTATCTCTGCATATTCCCCTCACAAAAATCCCACTCCCACAGGACGAGTTTCTCCTTACAATGCAGATGCTGAGAGGGACTGGGTGACCATCGCTGTCCCCGCTGGATGTTTACCCCGAGATGCTGACAACATGGACCCCTGCAGCACGGGTGTTCACATGCAAAATAATAATGAACCCAGAAAGTCCTTTAAGAGGCACCGAGGGCATTATCTTCCGAAGGAGCGAGAGGTTTGACGCAGACCGCAATAAGCACCAGCATTACTTCCCGTCACCCTCATCTCTGTGTGTGCCTTTGTGAGGAGCTGCTGATGCTGTGCGTGGTTCATATAGCCAGAGGAGGAGAAAGATGGTCCACCTTCTTCCTTTGTCATTCCCCGTTACTGTGGCTCTGTCCGGTCTCCATGTGGTGCGGTAGGATGGTGGCAGGACGCAGGACCGCAGAGCCCGGCCTCTCAGTGCTGTGCGCGGATCATGTTGCAAAGTGCTAAACTAGGCACTATCAACCCACATCGGCCCCTCCCACTTCCCCTCCCCCTTTTTTTCTCTCGCGCACTGACAGCGGTGAGAGGGATCACATCCCGGCTGAACGCATGAGCATAAACTTAATTAATAGACTGTAACAACCGTGCGATTTCAATTCATTCTGTTTCACACACATATATTATTTAGGGCATCGTGTTAAGGGGTTTGACTAGTAACAGGCCTGCAAAAATTAAACTTAAACTACAAGAATAATACATTTATAGAGGGACCATTATAGCCTATACTTTTCTATTTAATCATGATGTATTCTACTCAATTATATGGCTATATATGGTAAGGTTAGGTGTGTTCATACATGAGTCCCTTCAAAGACACATTTCCATTGTTTTTTATTGTTAGATCAAATTTTTATTTTAACCTCTGTCTTTAGAATCGGTTGTTACTGATATGTATATATTATAGCCCCTATTTCATATACTTAAATATAAATAAGTACATAAAGGCTATATAGAATTGCTAAATTAGTTTAGGACAAGATGTAATTTCAAACAAGTTTAGTGAAAGTGATATTTTGCACCATGTGTGCTGATACCATTAGTACACAAACAAAGCAAAGTTACTCACCAGTTAATTTAATTTAACTGCCATCCTTTCTCTGGTGATGGCAGCAAAACAAGTCCAGGCAAATTCAGGCTTGTCCTTAGCTTAGAAATGATGCACAGTTGAAACTCACTAGATTTATACATTTCAGTAAATTAGCGTTTTTCTAGTAAAGATAAAAACTAATTACTAAATTAACATATTTATTTTAAATATTATTCAATAGCCCTAATCGTTTCTTAGATGCCAAAGTGTTGTATTACTGAGTGAATACTCTTTTATAGTCAGTCATGATCCACTTTGACCTCTAAAAGAAAAATGTAACTGAATCAACTTTAAAATATATTTTAAATAAATTCAAATAATACAGTTGTGGTGATGTTAAGTGATCCAATTATTTCATTTGAGTTATTCTAACTTATTTACTTTACTTCCATCCTACTCAAAAATTAAAATGTTCATGCAAATTGTTACAGATAGAAATTTCATTTTGTATGATCAAACTGTTTATTATAAAACTCTTTATGTCAAACTAGTTTATTTTAAACATTTAACTGATATTTGATTCAGACTCTCACTTCTACCTCTCCTTTCTCTTGTGGTAGGTACAGTCTGGCAAGTCTGGGCAAATGTAGGCATGTCCTTAGCTTTGTTGAAACTTATTGTGTATATGGTACACAGTGCTTTTAGAGAGGCTATATTTCATTTAGCTCAGAAACATAAGGAAGCATTAATCACAAGCACATAAAACCTATTAATATACACTTCCCTTAGTATTGTAGTGTATAAAATCTAAAGTTATTGTAGGCTATAGTTTTTAAAGCTTATTCTTTATTTGTACTGGTTTACTAGCTTTCTGATTTTGATTTGATCTTTTTTATAATCTGTTTTATTCTGTGACACATATACTTTCCCCCCAATGATCAAAGTGTTATAGTACATACAAGTTACAAAGCACTCCACATATGATTAATAAGACAAAAAAGCCAAACTTCTGTAAGTCTGCAACATCTTTCTAATACTATCAACTGAAAATGTGCAGGGGAGAATGAGAATTATAAAAGGGGACCTACAGACATAGACAGGGGCCACACTTCCATAGTAGTCCACTGTAAACCCACACATGGATGTCTATCTGTGATAGTAGTCATCATAGTAGTAATATCACTGTACTTGGATGTTGTTGCTTTGACTCAGGGGCCTCCTAGTGGTCAACCCATCCATAATCAGACAGATGATCTTGACCCGTTCATGTAATACATAGCCTAGATGTTAAATTAATTTGTGACAGCTAGGTAAATGAGTAAGACTATGAAACATATTGCTTTTAATAAAAAATGAATTCCCTAAAATCATTGACAGTATATATAAAATAGGCGATAGCCTATATTATAATATGCTACTAACTCGACGTACTTTTTTTCCGTTTATTTAAGGAGCGGCAGTAAATTTATGAACACCACAGCACCGATGAGTTATTAATAATTTAATTAAAAGTCATTTTTTCTTTTATTTTTTTTAAAACCGTATAATACGTTTGTAGTCAGGCGCCACATGGTCAACCTCACCGAACAGAAACATTTGGGGTCCTTTTACTTCACGTGTGCGTCTGCTGCTCTGCCATCGTGAGAGGAAACCATGCCGAAGTCAAAGAGGGACAAGAAAAGTAAGCAAATATACATTCAAACTGTACTAAACTCAAAACTGTGAAGCGGGTTGAGTTCATTAACTGGCTGCGCATATTTACCCGTTGTTCATGACAACGGGAGAGTGACGTAAATGAGGTAACAAGCCAACGTTAGCTTTCATTTAGTCCTTCAGTCCTTCAGTCTTTTAGTCTTTTAGTCTTTTAGTCCTTCAGTCCTTTAGTCCTTCAGTCTTTTAGTCCTTCAGTCTTTTAGTCTTTTAGTCCTTCAGTCCTTCAGTCCTTTAGTCTTTTAGTCTTTTAGTCCTTCAGTCCTTCAGTCCTTTAGTCTTTTAGTCTTTTAGTCTTTTAGTCCTTCAGTCCTTCAGTCTTTTAGTCCTTCAGTCTTTTAGTCTTTTAGTCCTTCAGTCCTTCAGTCTTTTAGTCCTTCAGTCTTTTAGTCCTTCAGTCTTTTAGTCTTTTAGTCCTTCAGTCCTTCAGTCCTTTAGTCTTTTAGTCTTTTAGTCTTTTAGTCCTTCAGTCCTTCAGTCCTTTAGTCTTTTAGTCTTTTAGTCCTTCAGTCCTTCAGTCCTTCAGTCTTTTAGTCCTTCAGTCTTTTAGTCCTTCAGTCTTTTAGTCTTTTAGTCCTTCAGTCCTTCAGTCCTTTAGTCTTTTAGTCTTTTAGTCCTTTAGTCCTTAGCAGTTAACAGACATGCTGTTACAGTTATTGACTATCAGTTGAACTCTTAACTTACTTACTAAATCTCGCTCCATCTTCCCCTCAGTTTCGTTAACGAAAACAGCCAAGAAGGGGCTGGAGTTGAAACAGAAGTTAATCGAGGAGGTGAGTGTTTTCTGCTCTGCTGTCAGCTCTAGCTATGTGCTAACTTAAGGTTAGCTGAAGCTGTTGTTGTTTCACACCTGTTTTTTTGTCGTTTTAGTTACGGAAATGTGTGGACACCTACAGACATGTGTTCATATTCTCTGTGGCCAATATGAGGAATAACAAACTGAAAGACATCAGGACAGCATGGAAGCACAGCAGGTAAAGACAATGTTTAAAGGGACATTACACAAGTTTTACACATGGAGGGGAAGTTCATTCTTCAGTAGGAGTACTGGTCAAGGTTGAAGTCTGAGATTACCCCAGCAAAATCTGGGTTATCTTTGAGACTACATATTTCTACAAGACGATTCATGTTAGTTACTGGGGGGTATGGAGTTGGAAAGACATGGACATTTACCAGTGTGGTCTAATGAAAGATGCTGCCAAGTTGCATTAAGGGATGCAATTTTATGAAAGTTCAACACTAAACACTGAAGCAGTCCTTTTAACAAATTTCTCAGTAAACAATTTTAACTGGTCTCTTCTCTGTTCCACAGATTTTTCTTTGGCAAAAATAAAGTGATGATGGTTGCCTTGGGTAAAGGTGCAACCGACGAATACAAAGATAATTTGCACAAGGTAGGCACTCGGGTGTGGCGTTGAGCCAGAAAATATCCTAATACATTGCAGAGCCTTGATATTTTTATATCTTACGATAATGTGCAGGTCACCAAGTTTCTACGAGGAGAAGTGGGAGTACTATTCACAAATAAAACAAAGGATGAGGTGCAAGAGTAAGTAAAGCTTCACTTAATGCATCATTGTTGCAGTGATTCTCCAAATATTGTTCATCGGTTGACAAAATGTTGTTCTCTACCCACAGGTATTTCAGTCATTTCAAAGAGATGGATTTTGCGCGGGCAGGCAACCAGGCACAGATGGACATAACTCTGGATGAGGGACCCCTGGAACAGTTTCCTCACTCAATGGAGCCCCAGTTGAGGCAATTGGGACTTCCCACTGCTCTCAAGAAAGGTAAGATTACTGAATAATGCAAAAGTCCAAAACCAACAATCCTGCCGTACTCTTTCGACTTCACTCAGCTCCATTGGTTCTTACTGAATATCTAAAATACAGACAATAGTTGTGAGTAGAATGAGCTTTATCCTTTTTAAAATGTTTGTGCGACACCATGTTAGTCACATCTTTGTATCGTCTGCTCTGAAAGGTGTGGTGACACTGCTGAAGGACCATGGAGTCTGTAAGGAGGGAGACGTGCTAACTCCGGAACAGGCTCGTATTCTGGTGAGTGCTCGACTGTTTTATTACAGAACATATTGTCCTGTGCTACATTTGAGTGACTCTTAAAATTGGCTCTGTTTTTTTTTTGTCCGTAGAAACTCTTTGGCATCGAAATGGCAGAATTCAAGGTGAAGATCAAATGTATGTGGAACTCAGAAACAGGCGAGTTTGAGAACTGCGCAGGCGAGGAAGAACCTATGCAGGATAACGAAGAAGAGGAGGATGATGACGTGGAATGAAACATCTGCAAGGGCAAGAGCTTGCACACCTTTTTTTTTTTTTCAACAGCATAGAGGGACACTGATGGTGAAACCATTCATCCTGACTACCAGTGCTGCCGCTGGTGTCTGTGTAATCACGCTCCCCTTTTCACCCTAAAACACAAACTTCTGTCCTTCACCTTGAATTTTAGCTTCGGACTGAACACCAGTAACTGGAGTCAAAGGACTTTCTTGCAGGCCATCATGTTGATCAACTTGTTTTGTCAGCATAATCACAATTACGAAACGTTTTGTATTGCGTATGTGACAGCCAAAACAAAATGAATGTGTTGAACCAGCCCATTTGATGCATTTTATGTGTAAAAAAAACAAAACATTTTGTTGATTTGGGCAAATTAGTTTTCTTTTTAATGTAACAGTATAATTAAGGCAGACTCCTTATGATTTTTTTCCCCCTGAAAAAATATTTTGTTTTCATTTTTACATTTATACATTAACATGTTAATACTAATGGTCTGTAATTGGTCTGTTTGTAAGGGAAAATAAAAAATTTTCAAGTGTGATTTCAGGAAAAATGTGCAAGCAAGTAACAAAGGGAAAAGGGCTTCAGCTGATCTGATTTTCTGTATAAACTTGGATGATGATTGATTGGAGATTTTGGCTCTTCAGCGGAAGTAGTTTGGACACTCGTGGGCTACGAGATCCCAGGCCTCCTTGAAGGCTGCGACCACTCTCTCGTCCAGAGGGCCCTCCTCTGCAGCAGCCAGGTTTTGCTGAAGTTGCTCCATACTTGACATGCCAATGATGACTCCATCACCAAGATCACCCTGAAACAGCAAACACAGTGGTCAGCGATAAAACTGATGCTCTCAAAACAAGATGTGGGTCATTTAAACTTGTTTCATGGTATAACGTTACCATATCACTATAAGCACCAATACAGCCTTTGACTCTGAGGTTAAATATCCAACAACTGACTTGTCACTGCAGCTATCCATGCACAACTAGGTACCTTAAGTTGGGAGTGGTGGTACATCCAGCGCATAGCAGCAGACGTCATGGTGGGTTTGTTTGAACCATACACAGTCTCCAACGTGTTTAGAACCAGATCTATTGCCTGGAAATGACTCAGCTTCCAGTATCTGACAGAAGGAGCACAGACACAATCATATTCTTTTTAAATTAGTGATTATAAAACAAATGGGAGTTGCTTATTTTCTAGAAGATTTCAGAGTCAAACAGCTGGTCTTTCACCTGTCCTGATAGGCTGCAGCCCAGCTGTTACCAAAGAACCGTCCTGCAGGCTGGGAACCATCTTTGTCTTGGTAATGGTACTTTCCTGTCAGAAGGCCACCTGCAGAGGAGGTGTAATGGGAGAATTCAAGCTAAAATTATCTAGGATTCTACTACTTACATACTCAGCACTGTCACACAAAGTGAAGGTTTTTCATGGCTACATTTTGAGAAAAAGGTCATGTCAAAACAAGACTGGGGGTCTACAGTCACGGTAACAGCTCTTTGAGGCTGTACGTGCTATGAGCTAACATGTTGATGCTGAGCAGGTATGGGGTTTCCCATGTTCACTAATTAGCATGCTAACATTTGCTAATTAGCACTAAACAGTAAAGTGCAATTGAGGTGTACAGTCATAGACCACAGTATTTGGCCTAATGATGGCACTAGATGAAACGTCGAAGGATTACAACTCATCCCGAGGAGGACATGAATGTGTGTACTTAATGTTACAATCCATCCAGTAGTTGTTGAGACATTTCATTCAAAACCACAAATGAGATAATGTCACGTAAGATGTAACTGTGTTCAGGAAACAAGATAAACATATAAACTCCTCCACAGCAGGTGACACAATTATCAGCTGTTTAAAATGGTGTTTGCAAGGTGCATTATAGAGGGAACATATACAGCACCTGCTAGAGGATTGTATGCATAGAATCTCATTCCGTAGTATCTCAGACATGGCAGCAACTCTGTCTCAACCTGTCTTGTAGTGGCATTGTACATTCCCTGTGAAAGGTAGTAAGAGTCTTAGTTACAGTACAAGTGAAAGGGGGAAAAATAGTGCAAAAAGCATCTAATTAAAGATTAAATTGAGTTTGAAGAGGCCACCTTGAATTTTCCTGCACTATAAAAGTCAGTATTTTAATCAGAGGAATTTCTAGCCCATCTATGAGCATGGTGAAATGAGAGGAATGGGCTTTGTAATGCAAGGGATGCAACATGGACACATATTGAGCAGCTGATTTACTCTAAAATTATGCAACTTGTTGAAAACTATAAGGTTGTGAAATACCTGATACACAGTGGGAGCAATCCAGTTGTTGTGTCTGCAGATGGACACAATTTCAGCCACTTCCCATGATGCATAGTTTGACAGGCCAAACTCCTTGAATTTTCCCTGAGGGCGATATATTAACATTAAATCATAGTTTAATAAAAGCAGAGTAAGCATTTGAACACCTTAGGTACAGTATCATTATACGTAGTTCTCTTTTTGTAAGTTGTGTTACAGTAAAGGTTTCAGCAACTTGTTATAACTCATAGAAAATAAGCTATCTGGTCTCTTTACCTCTTTGTGGAGTTCATTGCAGGCCCTAAGGGTATCCTGGATGGGGTTTTGGTGGTCAGGGGCATGGAGGTAGAAAAGGTCCACGCAATCTCTCCGCAACTTCTGAAGGGAGGTTTCCAGCTGCGAGCGCACACTCTCTGGCTTCAGCGTCTTCCCGTCCCAGGGGTTGGCCTTGGTAGCTATGCTTACTGTCACACAGACACAATGAAGTGTACTGTAATTTGCGGGCTGGTTTCAGGAATCAGAACTGAAGTTATCAATTCAGACAACAACCAAATAAACAAACAAAACTGAAATCAAACATGATGGAAGTCTATTTCCTGATTTAAAGGCTGAATTGAGCTTGAATTGACATCTTAAAAGACTGTCTGGTGGTGTGGTAAGTGATATTAAGAGCCTGGATTTGCCAAATCATGATAATGGTGGTGATCCATGTTACTTACTCTACAACATTTTGGAAGCCAATATTGTCCTTTTTACTTCATAACATGTATTTGACAACATTAGTTACTAGTTGCTTTACAGATACATATGAAATGTAAATAAACAAATAAAGTATGATGTGTTATTATGGATTAACCTAGTCTGCAAATATTAAGTAGCTGAAATTACCTCCACCATTACCAGCTGCAACATAATATCATTATAATCCAGTGATATACAGTATATTTATCTGAAATGGGCGATTCTGCATGAATACTTTTAAGTAAGTTTTTGAATGCTGGACTTTTTCTACACTGTTTGCTACTTTTACTTAAGTAAAACATCTGAGTACTTCTCAACTACTGAATTCACATTTTATTGGTTTTGCTTTGTATAGAAATATTCTCCCTTTTCTTTGGCTCTTTTGTCGTTGTGTGTTGTTTAATATTGATCTTGCAAGGGACAAGCTTACTCAGGGTAATATTATTAAATATTAATGTTTAATATTGTCGGGCTTGGGGAGTAACAGATTACATCTAACTGAGTTGCAAAATCAGGATATAAAAAAAAAAGGTAACTGTAGTTCATTACAGTGACAGAAAAAAGGTGTTGTTATTATTTAGCAGGATTAAATACATCAGCTCTTCTTTAATAATCCACTGAGCAGAGGACACATTTTCAAAGCTAAATTATTTTTATTTTATTTTCAGAAAAGTGACTGTTTTCTTGTTTTAAAGAATACAATTAACATCAATACTTATTACTGACAATTATTTTCTCTTGTTTTTATAAAGCTACATTTTAGGTATTGAGGTAACCCAAAGGTAACAGAAAGTCATCAAATTACTTTAATATTACGATACTTGGTTACTGAATACATTATTTCATATATAATTAGCAATTGTATTTTTGTATTATAGATGGTCCTTTACCTTCCCAACGCTGGTGACCGTTAGCCGTTATTCCACTCTGGTTGCCAACCAGCAGGTACACTGTCTAATGAGTGACAGCTGTGCTAGTTGTCAAGGTAACTAACTGCGTTAACTCTGTTAAGCACACTGAGAAGAACCACCTCCAGTACGTGTGTTTACAATATGGTTGCTTCTGATATTGTACCTGTTTTGGGGAGATTCATGCCCCCTATGATCGTCTCTGACTTCCCATCCGCGTACATGAAGGCTGTGTCCACCAGGTTGTGTCCCCTGCCCAGGAACGTCTTCACCATGTCCTGGCTCTGCTCGGCGTCAGCTCGACCACCGAACGCCATAGTTCCCAGTAAGGACACCGGTCGTTTAGCTTGAGACGACGACATGTTTCGACGAGCCACGGACCTCGGTGAATGTGTGAGCACGTCTTTAATAATGCGAGTTTGTCCCAGTGTGCACAGTGCTCGTTTTATTACCCACTGCATGCTAAAGTACAGCAGCGAGCATGCGAAGGTCAAAGGTCGTGTTGGAAGTGGTAGTTAGGGAGCGGCGTAAAGTTACTTAACCGGTTTAAAGCGAAGCATGGGCTAAATTAGTTTTATATTTACAGCTATGTTCCTTCTCTACTTGGCTTGTGGTTGAGGCAGTGCAAAGTTCATTTTCTGTGACCACTTCCTGTTGTTTTAGACATGCATGTTAATATTTGTTGAAGCCTCTGTTGCATCATCTGGAGAGCACTCGTCATACAATATCTAGTGTGTAGTTCTTGTGTTTAACCACAAGGTGTCAGCAAATCTCCATCCATTTCTACACAAGAGCCTTATTGGGTCTCTCCTGCACCAATGTGTGCTCCAGATTATACTGATAAAAATGGTAAATAAATAAATAGAAAGTAACAGTGCCCATCCACTTCACCGAGCATTATTGTTGTAAACACACAGTCCACCTCTCCTCCTGTGCTCTGTTGGCTCCGACTATCTGTAAGTACCTGATCCGGGGTGTTAATGGAGCAGGTCTCTATAAATATGTGGGCACAACAGCCTCGGATTTCCTGTTGTTTGGCCAGAGTCCCATTTTGTCCCGATTGGACATTAGCTAGGAACAGCCTTCAGTCCAAGCTGGGCCAGCCTGGTATTTCAGTGCATCCTAAAGAACCATTCATATGAGGTTTTTATGATGAAGGTGGTTAACCCACAAAAAATTAGCTCTTGGCCCCAAGTAAGCCCCCAAAGTTTCAGAAACAAGTGTTTCTATGCTGGAATAATACCAAATGAAAGGTGTGCTGTAAATTAGTTTGATAATTTAATTAAACACACTTTAAAAAAAAATTAAAATTAAAATACACCCTGTAATCATATCAACTGAAATATTAAAGGTATTAAAACTAAAAATTGAATTCGGTAAAAATGCAGGAGCCACCTTTTTATATATTTACATTTTCTGTTTATATTGTGTTTTGAAATAGATTTAATATCTTGGATGCAAGGTTTAGTGACCAAACAGGTAGACCTATATAGGTTTTTGTTAATTTGATTAATTAAAAATTAGTTTGGGAATTTGTGCCAGTAAATTACAATATCAAGTAATTAGATTTTTTTGGTTGATATGATTTGTTAAAGAAGGGTAACATGTTGCAATTGACCTATAATGAAGCAGCCATGTGTAATCTGCTGTGTATGGTACTTGATGGGTAGGCTGCCTGTAGACCAGTGGTTCTCAACCAGAGGTCCGAGGACCCCAGGGGTGAAATGTGGAGTATTTTAAATTGCTGTTATTTAATTGACTAGAATTTAGCCAATAGGTTTCACACTCTGCACTTCATCTTCCAGTCTGCAGTGTAAATATTATCAGATGGGGAATCCTGAGACCACATCTTCTCAAATATGGGTCTGTGGCCTGATGTGTAATTTGGGGTGTAGACAGCAGGGTACCTACAGAATGTAAAGAAGGTGGGGGTGAATATAACAGCATATTTCTGCCTTGGGGCTTCTAAACAGGTTAACCTGACTCTGTGTATATATTTATGTGTGTTTTTGTGCCAAGAAAAAAACATAAACAAATGAATTAGATTATCATAAGACTAACTTTTGTTTTGACTCTTGTCTCGCTCTCTGTCCCCACTTTGGGCATCTAATTTAAACAACATGCCGTATAGCAGTTACCCTCGGAGGCTGCACGGACAGCGGTGACCCGGGACTCCGTAGGGTCATGAACACACATGCGTGCAATGAGAGCTTTGTTTGGAGAGCAGCAGTAGTCAGCCCCGGCGGCTGACCCTGTGACCGCACCGTCAGCTGTTTGCCCCGCAGAGTGACCACTAGCTCCCTCAGACCCCCCCCTCCCGACTCAACCCCGAACATCCTCTGTGGCTGTCAGGGCGATAGTATATCACTCACTTTCCCCCCCACATGTCCAAACCTACTTACCATGAACGGTTTGCATCTTCCCTCGTGCAGACGCTTCCCCGCTTTGGCTCACGGCTCCGTGCGAGGCGCGCGGATACTGCTCTGCACGTGCGCTTATTTCCCAACTCCACGAGCTTTGTTTTCATCAACATGCGTCCGTGACACTAAATAAACGCCATATTGGTGGAGGAATTGAAAATCGTCGTATAAAATGTATCTTTTTAAGTACAAGCGTGCAGTACAACAACGCGGCGTCTTAATAGCTTGAGAAGGAGTGTCAGTGTAAGCATTTTAATTACAGTTTATGTCATGGTTGTTTGCGGTGGCGGTCCGTTTCTTTACCAGATATGAATTATAATGACTCTAATGTGCTCTAGCAAATACCAGTTAAAGTAAAAGTGTTAAATCTTTACACCTGGACCCGAGGAAACCCCTTTTTAGCTACATTTGTCTCTGTTTGAGTACACTTTGCCGACTGCAGGGCGTCTTGTGAGTGGTTTTCAGAAGCTGCTGAAGCTCTGAATATTAAATGGGACCCTTTCCATCCCCCCCCCCCCCGCCGCCTACCCACCCCAAACCCCTGCCATCATTACCAAGTCAATGGAGGGAGGGAAGCAGAACGCGCTCAGCCTCCACGAGCGTTTGCCCGTCAGACCAACATCTGCAGTGAGGAAGCGGAGGTGAGCTCCAGTGTTGAAGTCAGTGTGTAACTCACCGGCCGAGAGCGAGAAAACACACGCATGTGATGGCTGGGGACATTTTTGGAAAGTGTTGATCATTTCCACAAGGAAGAATCTTTACGCGCCGGTTTCTCCCTGTTCATCACTGCTCGGATTTCTTTTTCTGTTTTGTTTCATTTTTGGTTATGTATATTAGGTTCATTTTTTTTTATTGTTAAACTACTGAATTATACTCATGAATGAGTTTGCGATTAATTCCCAGTTTTTAAAACTCTAATCCAAGGAGAAGCAACATGGAAAGTGTTATTTTTTCTTTGTTTCTTATATTTATTAAAGAGACTCATGCATTGCGTTATGGCATTGCCAACAATCTCCAACCTTATATGTGAGTAAGCTTTCGTCCTACGTTTTCTTTGTGTATATGCTATGTCATATGTATATTTTCTTGGTACTTCTTTAGGGGTGATTTACTTTACCCTTCATCTTTCCTAAGATGTTTTGCAGCCTCACATTTCCTTTGAAGTTTGAGGAAAACTGCTGGTTCACCTGCACACACATAACTTTGTGTCAAAGAGTGAACCAGAGGCTTGTGAAGTGTTTTGTTTGTTTGTTATTAGAGGTATCAAACAGCAGCTGGAGATATAATTTGTAGACGCTGGAAGATTAATTTGACTGTTGCCTGCTCTTATGAATGTCTTTATTGGCTTTTTATGCATGGTATCGCTGTAATTTACATGATTATATATTAGCTCCATGTGGATGGTCTGTACTGCATTCCTAAGTCTGTCAGAGGCTGTTTATTTTAAGCCCCCCAAGTTAAAGAGACAGACAATTATAACAGGTATTTTAAACCCCAAAATAATAAATAAGGAGCTTGAATTATGTGCGAAAATATTCCTTGCTGTTACCTGCCACTAACAATAAGGTCTTTCATATGCAATTATGTGTGCAGCTGGAGGTGATAGTGATTACTATTGTTTATGAGATGAGCAGCTGGATGCTGTCTTAAGATTCCTGCTGATCTCCATATGCCAAGCCTTCCTGTCTGTCCTTGGAGAGTTACCAAAGGAGAAAATGTTTCAAAGATCATGTTGCACTTTTTCGGCGAGGCTCCTGTGAGCTGCAGGAAATGGTGTGAAGACATCAGTGGCAGGTTTGCCCGTTCACCCAGACAGACTTTGTGTAAGAAGGACTAAACATCATAGTTGGAGGCTTACCGTGTTTTACCTGGGGGTGAAAATGTTAACTGTCTCCCGCTTCTGCTTCTGCTGACATTCACTCTCATACATACAAGTGAAAACATGCATGTTCTGTATGTCCAGTGAAGTGTTTCATGTGAATTGTCTGGAAAATTGCCGCATGTTTTTGTTTTATTCATTTATTTTGAAAATGGTGGTAAGTCATCACAGGGATACATCATATGCTTTCGTTTCCTAGCAAACCTGGGTCACATCTAAAACATTTTGATCTTGTCTGGTTATGATTTTTGTTTTTGCTTTTTACATTTGGAGTGGAAGATCTAAAATCTACACCACTTTCATGTCCATCCCACCTTCTTAAAGACTTTCAGGTGACACATTTCAGGTGATTACTGAGTTTAGGCTGAACTACAGGTAGTATCTTGTGCTTTTCAGCACAGCGTTCTGAGAGGTGAGGTATGAGGAATTCCCCTTAAGTCTTTAAAAATACCAAAACCAGACATCATAAGTAGCCTTGCACCTCAGTGCAGGTAATGCCCTCACAGGCATTACATCGTTGACAACTAGAAAATGCCCCATGCAAGCTTTGTCCATCTATCTTTGCTGCAACCTTTTTTTTTTCTTACAGCACTCATAAATTGCCCCGCTGCCATCTGTACATCTGTAAAAACACTGCAGAACATTTTGACACCTTAAGTATTTTTACCACTGTTTTCGTTCCAGGCCCAATGTGTGCGTGGAGAGGGAGGTGACGCTGGTCGCCCAGAGGCAGCCGTGTGTGCAGGCCTTCACACGCATGGTTAAAGTGTGGAAGCAAGGCTGTGTGGGACAGTCATGGTGCATGGGATACGAGAGGAGGTGAGTAATGCACCTCATTTGTATTCTGTCTCGTCTGCCCCTTCTTGTCAAAACCTCTGACTCTATGCCTATACAAACACTCCGATCTTCACCTGCAGGGGATGTCGTGCTTGCTGATTAAGCTCTGGCTAGAGCAAAGCATTAATTAATGGTTTTATGTTCTCTCTCATGAGTCATAAGACCAAAAGAATTTATCAGAGAAGCTATGATCCTTCATTTAACTCTACCTCCAAACAGGATGAGATCTCACTCCCTGATCTCCTCTTCATCTCCCTCACTCTTGTCCTTTAATCACAGCTTTGAACCTCTCATACAGTTAAGTGCAAGGTGTAGCCTCACTTCATTGGGGGTTACAAGATACTTAACGCATGGGCGTCTCTGCAGCCAACATTCCTTTGAAGGAGTAATGCTAACATCTTAGCCTATCTCTAAGAGTCAGGTTCAGGAGTTTCTCACTGTGCTGCTCACCCTCGCTTTCTCCATGTCACCAAGTCAAAGGCTGCTTTGAAGGTAGCCAAGGCCACAATTACTTGCTGTAAACAAAGCGTGTTTTCACGATGCGTAATCACTGTGGAGCAA